CACCACTATCATGATCCCAATTCTATCTTACAAATCCAGCTAGACCAGAGGATGTACACTGGTACAGATAAGAACTGGAAACAGCGAATCCAGGATAGATAAACCCCTCAGGTTCAATGGTGAGAGTGGCGATACAAATGTACAAAGTGCTTGACACAATGGATGTATATATGGATTGTGATAAGAATTGTATGAGTCCCCAATAAAATGGTTCAAAAATTTGATGACATTTATATATTTTTTTTATTAAGTATTTTTATTGGGGGCTCTTATATCTCTTATCACAATCCATACATTCATCCACTGTGTCGAGCACATTTGCACATATGCTGCCTTCATCCTTTTCCCAGCATTCTCTTCCCACTTGAGCCCCTGATTATCAGCTCCCCTTTCTTCCCCCAACCTCCCCCGCCCACCATCCCTCACAAACCCTTGTTATAGATTATTATTTTGAAATTCATATATATATTTTTTCTACCTTATGATGCGAATAATTCTGTAAGGGTAAGTGAAATGTATCGCTACAAGGTTCCAGTCCACACATGTCCTGAGTTTACTCCAAAAAAAATATGTTTAAACATATCTCTACATCTCTAAGGCCAGTAGACAGCTAAGACAAGTTTTCCCTATAATACATTTGTCTTAAAGTCATTTTTAGTGCCTTGTCCCCCTTCCCCCCCCAAAAAAAGGCCAAATCAGTGGATCCACCGGATCAGTTAAATTCAAAGATTGGAGGTTAGGGCAGAAGGTTATGATAATTGTATTTCTAATGGAGTAATTCTGATAGATCTCGAAGTTACAGTATGATCATGTAAGATTATACATTTTTTTTAAATTTGAAAATTTTAATGATGACAAAAAGGCCACGAAAGTTGTGTCAAGTATTTTTCCTATCATGATAATGGACCTGCTCATTCTTTCAAGGTCTAAAGGGCTTTCCTATGAGAACTGTGTTGGGAAACCTGACCCCAGTTTCCTCACAGCCCTGAGCTTGCGTCTACATAATTTTGTTTCCAAAACTCAAAGAACATTTAAAAGGAACATAATTAGAGTTATTCAAGGATGTCAAAACTGCTCTTTTGATGTGGCATTAATTGAAGATAGCAGAATTCTTCAGAAAGAGTTAAAAAGATGGAAATATCTCCTTCAGAAGTATAGACTTAGATGAAGCATATGTCTGGAAGCAGTGGCTTTACATGTTCATATTTTTGTTACATAAAGTCTTCCAAGTTTTTTAGTAACATTTTTAAGACTTACTCTCATTTAAAATACAAGGTCAAACTACATGTTGATGTTAACAATATAACTACTTCAATAAATACAAAAAGATGCATAAAATCTTAGTAAGAAAAATATTATATGGTCAAACTATTTAAAAATAAAAATACAGATACCATATATACTCATGTATAAGCCAAGTTTTTCAACATTAAAAAAAAATAATTTTATTGGGGCTCATACAATTCATCACAATACATAGATCAATTGTGTAAAGCACACCTATGCATTTGTTGCCTCATCATTCCCAAAATTCGCTTTCTTCTTGGGTTCCCGGAATCAGCTTATTTTCCTTTTTTCCCCTCCCCGTCCCTCCCGCCTCCCCCATGAACCCTTAATAATTTTTAAATTATTATTATATCTTATCTTACACTGCCCAGCGTCTCCCTTCACCTACCCCTCTGCTGCCCGTCCCCCAGAGAGGAGGTTATATGTGGATTCCTGTGATCAATTCCCCCTTTCTACCCCGCCTTCCCTCCTGGTATTGCCACTGTCACCCCTGGTCCTGAGGGGTTCATCTGTCCTAGATTCCCTGCGTTTCCAGTTCCCATCTGTACCGCTGTGCATCCTCTGGTCTAACCAGGTTTTTAATGGAGTTTTTGTGGTAAAATTAGGTGCCTCGGCTGATATTTGGGTCGGCTATACTCGAGTATATTGGTACCTTATAATATAATACACACATACACACAATTCTTAGAATATGTGATCAAAAGACTTTTAACAGCCATTAGTCAATGCAGCATCAAGAAACTTTAGTGTAAATTTTATCAAATGTATTTATCAAAAGGGAATTTTTGTTTCTCTACAAATATTGTTACATTAAGAGTGAACATGTACCAAATTAGTTTATATGGATATTTAGAAGTTATTGGCATTAGGAAGTCCCTTAACAGAAAACCCAACCCTTCTTATATGAAGACCTACACCTACTCTGAACTCATCCACACTAAAGCGGGAAGACAATACGGACAAACTAAAAGTTACCTGTAAGAGTAAATACATAATTCAGTTCTTTTTATGCTGGGAATGTTTCTTACTAATATGGCACATTATTCTTCCTTACATTCTGCTGCATGGACAGAAACAAAATTATTTTAGTTGCTGGAGAATCACAGTGTTAAGAACATTTGCTTCTTGGAGGGTCAGGCTTTCATCTGTTAGCTCTTTGTTTGGAAAAGATGTCACAAGAATAAAATCAAGAGTTGCAAATTCAGGTCGGGACTGTATAATAAAGTCTCGGACATCCAGGATCCTGGAAAAAAATTTTTTTATATTAAATCTTGCTGTCATTTATGCTTTTAATAAAAATTAGATAGTAATATGAATGACACAATTCTCTTTTTAAAAAACATCACTTTCTTTAATATATAGTAATTTCAATGGATAGACTTATTGCGGCTTTAAGTTAAAACAAGAGGAAAGTTTGAATTGGCTTACATTTACCTTTACTGTAAAACAGAGAAAAATTTCAGGAAAATTATGTTTAAGTGTAAACAATGCTATTATATTGCAAGCAGAGGTCCTACCTTTTTATGATGGTAAGCTGTGCTAGCAGCACCTGGGCCAGTAAAACCATGGTATAATTTAGTTGGCTGAGGGCATGGGGAGTCTACAACTAGGGAGAGGTACGTTTTGAGAATATTTTTTAAAATTTCTTTCATATATATGAGGGGGGTTAAATATTTTTATAGCTATTTCTTTATTATAGCTATTTTAATTAAAAGATAATGGGATCCACAAACTTTTCTAAGGCCCCTCATACATAGTACTATATGTTATCATAAACAAAATCAAATGTGTATCCATTAAGCGTATTTCAATGAACATATAAATAAAACTATTGTCTTAGCATAAAAATATTAACAAATAAATATCAAGAGTACATTGAAAACCATTTATTTAAAATACTTGATAAGCAGCCTAGACCAAAGTGCCCATTGTGCCAATTTTGACTTACATGAACTCAATAGACGGAGTAGAACTACTCCTGCGGGTTTCAGGGGCTGTGCATCTTTAGGGGAGCAGAAAGCTTCCTCTTTCTCTTACAGAGGGGCTGGTGGGTTTGAATTGCTTACCTTGAGGTTAGTAGCCTAATGCATAACCCTCTACCCCACGTACTGGGTAACAACATAATGGAATTTACTTATATCAGAATTATATTATGGAGGATTTGCTATATTGATATTAATTCCTGTCAGGATAATGACTTTTAAACAATGAAAGTTTAAATAAAATTTTACTAAACATAGAACTAAAAAAAAAAAAATCTATAACCTTTGCAAGTCTTCCTGACTAAATACCAAAGGTACCATATTCACAGATGTATATGGTTTTTGTATGGCTGGTTTCTAGCAGCAAGTGACCTTGAATCTCCCCAACCAGTGAGGAGCTGACCAGAGCTGGCTGAAACTACTAGCAGTGAGTGACCTTGAATCTCCCACACACACCTGCGGAGCTGACCAGAGCTGGCTAATGTAAAGCAGCTTTGCAAGTTTTTTTTCTTCTTTCTTTTACTCACAGCTGGCCTGTTTTGCTCATGGCCTGTTTGGCTCATTGCCCGCTTTGTTCTCGGCCTGCTGCTCTGCATGGAGCACGAATATACCCAGAACCAGGAAGACATCTTACATTCCAGAAACCCAGACATACCTGTATCTCCCAATCCCTGACTACTTTACCTTATATGGAATCAAGGCAGCCCAGTCACATGTTCCCCGGCAATATAAACACCACTCCAGTAGTCTGGAGTGCAACTCACTCAGCCTGGACACTGGACCGTGGGACTTCGACCAGGCTGGGTTTTTCTCCCCAATAAAGCCTGTTTGCTCTAATTCGACTGATTTGGTCTCTGGCGCCTCTTACAGTTTTAACAATAGTGCTAAAATGCAGCTCTTGCAGATGTGCTTTGTTTTTGCATAAGTGAATTTGTATTAGTATTTGGTTTATAAGAGTTGTTTAAATATCAACTACTTAATTCATACAACCACTATCTTTTTAAGTTTTTCTTTTTTCAAAAACTTCAAAAGTAAATATATAGAATCTATGTTTTTCTTTAAACAAGCCACAGTTTCAAGTTAGATATGTAACCATTTATATAAAAGCAAACTATATACTTAGCTGGTAAAGTAGCTTACCTGTGGGTATTATTGAATCTTTGTATCAAACGACTCCCATCTGCTAGCCTGACTTGGATTTTTGTGGTTGGCATGGAATCATCAGTGAGAACCACTGCATTTAATATTGACTTATCCTCCTCTTCCGGCGAGGAAGGTGTACTAATTATTTCTGGTGTAAGGCTAAGAAAGAAGAATTAAAGAATCAGAACACAAATAATGCCAAGCTGATGTCAGCAGAAGTAACAATCCGATCTCAAGTCAATTTGCCGTTCGTTGGTCCTTAGCATGACTTTTGGATTAGCAAGAACATGACTTCCTTTGAGTCACCTGTCTCCAGTCAATTCCATTTTATTAGCTATTTAGGATCCCATATTGCTGGTTTAGTTTATATATCATACATCTCAAAAGCCAAACTCTGTATTCTTTCTTAGCTATCTTTTTGGAATTTATTGAAACTGTTTCGTAAAATAGTTCCTTTGGCCAGAAATCTGAGTAACTTTGAGTTAAACTCAAAAATGGCAACAGCAGCAAAAGACTTGGTGTCTAACTCCAGCTTTACCAATTGTGTAAACTCCAACGAGTAATTCACTTCCTTGAATCTCAAATCTATCATTTACAAAATTGGGGGGCCAAGGCCAGGGGTTAGAATAGTGCGGGAGGAGGGATGAGGGGCAAAAAAAGAGAGAAAGATTTAACAGGATATTGTTGTTGATTTCAAAAGTAAATATATAGAATCTATCTATATATATATATATATATATATCCCCCAAGATATATATATATATCACCCACACACACACACACACACACACACACACACCCCACAAAAAAAATTCCTACAGATTCCTTATCTTTCAAACCTAAAATAGTGGCTTGAGGACTTGGAGTCATTAGTGACAAACAAGTTAATCTTAAACAGAGTAACAAACAAATAAAAACTGTGGGGGTGGGTGGGATATTATTATTCCATGAAGGTGTGCTATAGTAAAGCACACATTTTAAATAGCAGTTTTGCACATATCATTAGTATTAAACTATTAAATTAATTTGAATTTAGTTAAGATGACTTAAGAACTCTGAGTAATTTCTGCATAGCAAAAAAGAAATGACTCATGCAGAGAGAGAAATAAAATGCTATACATGGTGCTGAATATATAATGAAGTTTATCCCTAGTGATCTTAGGATGGTTTTTCCTCTCTCTCTCTGTCTATCTTCTAGTTAGGAACATACCTGTCCATTTCTCTCCTACCTCTGGTAATCATGGGTGGCTGCTATCAAGAGTTAATGGAGAAGTAAAGCAGGAAGTATGATCTTCTCATTTATTGAATCATTCTTATCTTGATTTTTACTTACTTAAGAAGCAAGAGAACCAGTCTGCACAGGCAATTAAAAAGAACTTGAAATCACACCAAAAGGAACCAAGGATGCACAAAGGTACACAGGGAACATCATCACCAAGAGCATATTTGCACATGGACTTCTACACTAATACGTAGGCAGATAAAAGGTAGTTTTCACTCATCTCTTTTGCAAGACTTATGAAGAATTAACAAAAGAGCGAGCCCTGGCCATCATTACAAGCCACATTAAGCACACTGGTGTTTTTAAAGTGTCCTCTGCAAAGGTCCAAGGTTCTTTGGAAGGATGTCAGAGGAGTTCAGCTATTTTATGTTTTCATAAATCACCTGAAGAAAGGGCTTTACTGCTAAAATAAATATTAAAAATCAACTTAAGTATTCTGACTGTCCTTACTAGTAAGTAATACTAATACTAATTACTAGTAGTTATGACAGGTATGCATGCTGAGAGTTGTCATTTGTCTAAACAACCCTCTATAATTTTCTCTTCTAAAACCACGCAGTAAGAAAGAGGGCTGTCGTTCTGAAGGCACTGTCGGGTGCACTCTGACTCACAGAGACAACATTATGTACAGACAACAGAATGAAACACTGCCTGGTCCTGTGCCACCTTCACACTTGTTGTGTTTGAGCCCCACTGTGGAGCCACTGTGTCAATCTATCTCATGATGGTCTTTCCTCTTTTTGTTGCCCCTCCTCTTTACCAAGCAAGGTGCCATCAGGTAGATAGAAACACAAACAATAGAGCCTGATGGTTGGGTTTGAATTCTACATCCCAGCCACTAACTAGCTCAATGATGTCCGGTAAATTACTGTATTTGCAAAATGGAGTGGTAACAAGTATCTACATTGTGAAAACTAGTGATTTGACACATGTACAACAGTAAGTCAAAAAGTATTGCTCCTGTGGTTTCAGTGCAGACATGCATGGATTTATTCTACTTTAAACATTTTTAAACATGTCTCTGTGAAAAGTGCATGGCTGTCAACAGATTCTCTCAGTAATACACTATCTGTCTTGTTAGGGTGCCTTCAAAAAAGGGTCCAGCACACACACTAGTTTTCACGGGGATCTGCCAAGCCAGTTAAATTCAAGGCAGGGAAGTCAGCTCAGGTTATGGTAACTGTGTTTTGGGATTCCAAAGGGTAACATTCAATTCATAGATTTTCTCAAGGGGTGCAGGATAGTTATATGGAGGTTTATTATGAAAAACTTTTAAAAAGATTGAAAATCGCATTTCTGAAAAAATGGCAAAGAAGGTTGCGACAAGAAATCTTCTTCCATTGTGACAATGCTCCTGCAAGGTGCTGTCCTATGGGAATTCCACTGTAAAACCTTACAGCCTGGGTCTTGCTCCTTCAGACATTTGTGCTCCCTAAACTCAAAGAATGCTTAAAAGGATTTGAGTCCCTTGAGGATGTCAAAAGAGCCGTTTTGTTGTGGTGTCAACTGAAGAGTGCAGAATTCTTTGGGGAAGGGGTAGGGAGAAGGACATGTCAGTTTCAGAATGGTACAGACCAAAATGGAGGCTATGTCAAAAGAACAATAGCTTCTTATTTTAATATTTTTGTTTAATAAACTCAAAAATCAAGCTCACTTTCATCGAATTTATTCCAACACATAGCCACCAAAATGGATAGGTTAGGATTGTCCCTGCGGGTTTCCAAAACTGTAACTCTTTATGAAAGTAGACAGCTTCGTCTCTCGCATGGATTGCTGACGCTGAGGTGAGCAATGCAACATGTACCCACCGTGCCACCAGAGCACCTTAATAAAAGGTGCCTGCAATTTGTAGCAATACTCTTTGCCTGACCTTTGTAAAGTGCCGTAAGTGCCAGATATATGGTAATTTTCATGCAACGTTTACACCTGAATATTATTACTAGATTTATATATCTAATTCCATCACCAAAGTCTTCATAGTTCATATTTGTTTTTACTTTATAGATGAGCCCAGATTTCTTTAATCCCAAGGAAAGTTCATGTTTAATAAAGACTAGTAATTTTCTCACTTTATGACTTTACCTTCCAAGTTTTTGACCTTCTCCACTAAAAGCTTTGAACCTCAATCTTGGTTTTATGTATTCTTGATCTTGGTGATCCTCCATATCCAAACTTACTTGGCTGCCATGAGCCAGTCGCTGAAGCTCCAGGGGAATTTCTCTTTTAAAAAGGAGGGGAAAAAGCATTAATTAAAAAAATTATTATATTGTTGAGATTATTTTAATGAAGTTGTTAGCTTAATTGAAATAAATTGGCATTCTATGATGCTCACTTTCCCGAGACAACCGCTGAAGACAAAGCGGGTGAATAAGCAAATGTGGTGAAGAAAGCTGATGGTGCCCGGCTATCAAAAGATATAGCATCTGGGGTCTTAAAAGCTTGAAGGTAAACAAGCGGCCATCTAGCTCAGAAGCAACAAAGCCCATCATGGAACAACATATCAGCCTGTGTGATCACAAGGTGTCGAACAGATCACTGAAGACAAATGGGTGCATAAGCAAATGTGGTGAAGAAAGCTGATAGTGCCCGGCTATCAAAAAGTATAGTGTCTGGGGTCTTAAAGGCTTGAAGGTAATCAAGCGGCCATCAAGCTCAGAAGCAACAAAGCCCACATGGAAGAAACACACCAGCCTATGCAATCACGAGATGTCGAAGGGATCAGGTATAAGGCATCATCAGAACAAAAAATATTACAATAGTGAATGAGGAGGGAAGTGCGGAGTGGAGACCCAACGCCCATTAGTAGGCTACTGGAGATCCCCTTGCAGAGGGGTCTCGGGGAGGAGATGAGCCAGTCAGGGCGCGATGTAACAATGATGAAAAATACAACTTTCCTCTAGTTCCTAAATGTTTCCTCCCCGCTCCCACTATCATGACATGAATTCTACCTTGCAAGTCTGGCTAGACCAGAGGATGTAGACTGGTACAGATAGGAACTGGAAATACAGGGAATCCAGGGAGGATGAGCCCTACAGGACCAGTGGTGTGAGTGGCGATACAGGGAGGGTAGAAGGAGAATGGGTAGGAAAGAGGGAACCGATTACAAGGAACTATATGTGACCTCCTCTCTGGGAGATGGACAACAGAAAAGTGGGTGAAGGGAGATGTCGGACAGGGCAAGATATGACAAAATAACAATTTATAAATTATCAAGGGCTCATGAGGGAGGGGGGAGCGGGGAGGGAGGGGGGAAATGAGGACCTAATGCTGGGGGCTTAAGTGAAGAGGAAATGTTTTCAGAATGATGAGGGTAATGAATGTATAAATGCGCTTTACACAATTGATGTGTGTATGGATTGTGATAAGAGCTGTATGAGCCCCTAATAAAATGATTTAAAAAATTATTATATTCTTGAGATTATTTTAATGAAGTTGTTAGCATAATTGAAATATACATCGCTCACTACATTGAAACATAGGAATTTGCTCAAATTAGCTTACAAAAATATTCACGTCAAAATAAATAAATAAATAAATAAATATTCACGTCTATTACTCTACACATATCTTTTCTAGTAACATTCCTTAGTATTCTCAAATATTAATATTTTCAGCTGTCTTAGAGACATTTAAAGTTAAACTACTAAAGAGTAATCTATACCTAAATTAACACTAGAAAATCCCTGCAGACGTTCTAGTTAATGCAGATATTTGCTTCTGAACGCTCTGCAGGACACGTAGAAATGTGCAGGAGCATCTTCACTGTCACGCCGTTCATGAGTACTGCTGTCTCACTGACAGGGTCTGGGTAGTAAGACAGTGCATAAAATGGGGACTTCCTATACACAATATATTCTTGTCACCACAATGCCACAGTCTGAACTGAAAACCTTTGTTCTACATATAAGCAGAAAACATTTTTTGTGATAATATATGAGTACTTTGAATCTTACAGGAATGAAACTACCACATAAATTGAAGAGAAGACAATACATAGACTGTAGAAAGGTACAAACTATGTGATTACTTTATTATGTTTCTGTGTGGTCAGACCTGGCTGAGTTTTTAATATATAAATCATGACAAATTACTGTTCTTTTATTTCTGAAGTATAGATAATGTTATCTTCCTATGTACGTAATTTTGAAAATTTGATGAGTTCCTTTCTGAGGATAGTGAATATAGTATTATAAAAATATTTGTTATAAAAAGAGACAGTGGGTGTTATACAATTGAGAACCATTATTTACATTCATTTTTTAAAGGACTCTTCTGTAAAACCTTTTTTGATCATGATTTGCATCTGAGGTTAAGGTGGGACTGAGATAAAAATAAAATATACTCATTTAGAATACCATTATTGTTTTAACACTAGCTTACAAAGTCTACAGATTGCTTTAATTTGAAAATAAATTAGTTTTAATCTATGTTATAGTACACTTATTAAAATTATGTTTTCTTTTTCCAAGATCTTGAAGTTTGCATCAAATTCAACAATAATGTTGATCTCCACTTAACAGATGAAGAGGAACTGTGCTGGTTTCCAAGTCCACAGTATTTCATAAACTATTATATCCCTATATTTTCCACCACAAGCTGCTTCCTAGGACAGCTTCAATGATTTCCATTCTTCAGTATCCTGATTTATCTTTGTAGAACTAAAAATCCATGCTAATTACCTTATTTTATGTAAGTGACACACACATATGCTACTCTTTTTGTTGTTGTTTTCAAATAGTATATTCATTTTCTTTGTGCACTATACAATTTCTGTGTGTGTGCATGTTGTGTATGTGGGCACAGTATATGTGAGATGGCAGGGTTGTTTTCTAAATGCCTCTGCTCCGGAGTTCCTTGACTATTTCCACCCAGTGAGCGAGCAGCTTCACCACTGAGCCTTATAACCTTGGGACACGTTGTCAAGAGAGACCAGTCCCGAGAAAAGCGCATCATGTTTGGCAAACTGGCGGGGCAGCTAAAAAGAGGGGGCCCCCAACGAGACAGATGACACCGTGGCTGCAACCATGGGCTCCAGCTCGGGGACCGCTGTAAGGCTGGTGCAGGGCTGGCAGTGCTTCTTTCTGCTGCACACAAGGGTGATAGGGGCTGAAATGGACTCGAGGCACCCAGCAACATGGTACTCCCAGAAGTGTCTGATACATGTTCCCTATGTTAGTCTTTATTGTGATCATTAGTTATACAGGCTATACACAGAGATAGAACAAAAGAGACAAGGATAAGATATGCCACCGGCTCCATTGCTGAATATAGATGGAATTTATTTCAATCTTACCATGTTATTTGTCTTACCTTACTAAAAGTATAGGCATTACAATTTCATAAAAATGTCGTGATTAAGTTAATGTAAGTGCCAAGGACTGGTGAGTTTAATGCCCATAGAATGGGTCAAACATCTGATTTACTTCCACAAATAACATCTTCCAACTAACCTTTTAATATCTTCTGCCGGAAGTAATGCCATTTTAGCAGACTGTTAATACAAGATGCTGAATTTCAGGCATTCATGCAATGACTCACCCTGTCAATAGTAAGCAGGATAGTGGCTTAATGGATGGCCAACCCCAGGGTAATCCATGCACTGATTTAATACACTAAGATGTTTCTTTGAGGAACTGGATTCATAGCTTCATCAGATTTTAAAAGGAAGCCTGTGACCACTACCCACCCTCCAAAGTTGAGAGTCCATGATCTACAGATAGCAATATGTCCTTTATACTTAAGACTAGCTTTTTCCTTCAACAACACAAAATGCACTCTTCTAGTGTCCAACTCTTAAAAACCAGGGTACACTAGAAGCAGCCTGTTAAAAAGTTACATTTAAAATAATAAATATAACATAAAAAATACAACCTACCCTCTCTTAACAGACTCCAGAAATTGAGCATTTGTTGGGTCATTGTAAGGTCTCAATTCTCCATCATCCAAACTGAAACCATTGCTCCACAGTTTAAGCAAAATCTGAACCTTTTGAGTTTAAGAAAAACCGAACCAAACAGAAAGCAGAAAGATATATAACAATCTATTTTCACCAAACAATTTTAAGTTTTATATGCGGTATTGCACAACATAATAAACTGAGTTACTCATTATTCTGAGTTAAAGACCTATGTGAAACTATGTGTGTTTATTTAGCAGATTTGTGTTTAGCTTAATAGATTGACAATGATTGTAAATGCCAAAAAAGTATTGTAGCTTGACCCTGGCCTTGAAGCATAATTATTTCCTGAGATAATCAAAGCAATTAACAGATAGCAACCATGGCTCCCACCTCTCTCCTTATTTTGGGTCCTTCCTCTTGTTTCTCTACTGCAGAGCTTAAATATTTATGCTGAGGATCAAGGGAGAACTTTTAGTGACCTCCCCTCCTCCCAAGTTAAAGTGTAAATCTTTGAAAGGAAATTTTAACTGTGAAATTTTAAACAGAAGCAGAAACAAAGACACATGTTAGATGTTGCTTTGTTTACAGCTCCGTGGCACGAGTATACCAATATCATATAAGTATTGTAACACACAGGTAAATTCATTATGTCACAGTGAATCAGACATTTATTCAAAAGACAGGTACTATGCCTCTCTCTAAGTGCAAGGCACTGTTGAGATACAACATCCAAAATTTGGGATCAAGAAACTATACATTGGTCCTTTTTATTCATGTTTCAACAAACAGTAATATAAAGATTCTATTATCTAATGATAAGGTGTTACATTTTAACCTAACTACATCTGCCATAATCAACTTTACAATGTTCTTTCTGATAGCAAGGCTATTCACTGGACTACCTTCCGAGGGAATTCACAGGGGCTTAATCCACCTGGGAACCCTGAATAGACTTTGGGTTTCCACTGTCATCCATTTCCTTTTACAGCCTGTTCAGAATTTAAGCTCTGATGCCATTCCCTCTTTCGGATTTGGACAATATTTACAATCCTTGGATCACACAGGCTGGTATGCTTCTTCCATATGGGCTTAGTTGACAACTTACTTAGATGGCTGCTTGTTTTAAGACAGCCTTTAAGACCCCAGATGTCATATTTCTGATAACTGGGCACCATCGGATGTCTTCACTACAGTTAGCACCCAAATATTCAATGACCTTCTCTTGAGGGTATCTTGTAGGGTCATGTCATAAGAACTAATTATTCTTAGATCATGGTTACAATTAAGTGTAAGTCCCAAATCCATCATTTGATCTCTCCTTTAGAACCATTTAAATGTTGTTTCAGTTTTTAATATTTTCTTTCTTATTGAGTTTTCCCTCTGCCTTGTTTTGGCATTGTTGTTGGTTTTTGTTTGTTTCTTGTTTTTGTTTTGCAGATGGAATCCAGGATAGGTAAATCTATAGAGCTAGTAACTGGACTAATAATTACCTAGAAGATGGCAAGGGGTTGTTGGGGGAAACGGGGAGCTAACAACAATGAATGAGCAAGCAGAAAATGTTCTGAAACTGAAGAGGGGCAGGGAGGAAAAGAAAATGTTCTGAAACTGATTGTGATGATGATTATACAACTCTTCTTAATATGATTCAAACTATTAAATTATATGATATTTAAATTACATGGCAATAAAACCATTAAAAAAAGATTGATCGAGTTTCAGTTATTAAACAAATAGTAATTAGTATCAGCATTTGGATCAGTGTACCTACATCTTGCAGCTGACTTTCTCCATCGATATATTCAGACCGCTTACAAAAGGAATCACCCAATCTGTATCCTCCACCTGCAAAAGACTACAACACATGGTAATGAGCTCAAATATCATAATTTAAGAGATAACATAGTAAAATAAGATAAATTGTAATTAGATCAACAGATCCTACTTAATAGTAAAAGGTTCTATTAGTACAGTTTGTTTTTAATAACAAAGAATATTCAAATAAAAAAACTGGGTTTCTTCCCATAAGAATATTAGTGACACAGAAGCAAAAATAATTTGTCTTAACCCTAGAAATGTCTTTATATGGGGCTAAGTCAAAAGTATTGCAACTAGCATCCAAATTTATGCATATACTTTAAAAAAAAGTTTAACTAGGTCTTTGTGATTAGTGAATGGCTGTGAGCAATTTCTCTCAGTACTATACTTGTCTCGGTCTCATTATGATGTCCGTAAAAAAAAAAAGTCCAATACAAGTGGTGGTTTCCCTGAGGATCTGCAAGGTCATTCAAATCCAAAGCAGAATTCATGTTAGAAGGTTATGGCAGCTGTTTTGGTACTGAAAAGGGTTAACTCGACAGATTTTCCAAAGGACGCAGGACCATCATGGGGGGTTATTATGAAGAAGTTTTAA